ATCACCGAAGGGTATGTCACGAATATTCCATGAATGTTCCATGATTATATATTTTTTATATTCCATTTATAGTCCATGAATATTCCATCAATAGTAACCTAAAATTTCCCAACCCCCCCAATATTGAACACCACCTAACTGGTCCCAAATATGTGTAAATCCCCTACAAAACAAAACTAGAATTTCTGGGGGGGGTAGTCACAAAAAAAGGGGGGGATGGATCGATGCATTTGGTGATGATTGATAGGTAAATGACCTACCCAATATCGCTGGTAAGGTTTATCCCCATGTTTGATGTCATATCCCTCGATTTCGATCACTATGAATTCATAGCGTCCTGGGATGTTTCCTGTTGCGCCTCCAAGTGCAAATGCGCCAAGGCCCGGTTGCACCTAGACAACTGGAGGTGACAATTTCATGATATAAAACTGGTGGCCTTAAATATCTTAAATCAGAATGTCAATGGATTGGTTGGAAGAAAATTCTGCAAGGAACTATAGTTTTTTTTAGTAATTATAGAGATGTCCTCGTCTAAATTGTCCCATTATCCAATTCTAGGAGAATGAGGAAACCTTGAACACTGCGTGACATTAACCATGAAGATTGGGGATATTATGTGCATAACATGTATTATATAACTATATAGCAATTAAAAGGATTTAAAGGGACTTAACTAGCCAATAGGGTGTTGCAATTGGCATATGCTGATTGCCGAAAATTGGGAAGCAAAAAACCTCACAAACGTCCTTCCTGGGGAATTCATGTTTTAAATCATATTCCGACATCTTCCCATCAACCAATGGTAAATCCATAATCTAACCTAGCAAGATGGGGAAAATTTCCCGCACGGAAAAATCGAGAAAAAAACTGTTCAGGGCTGGCACCAGAGGGACGGCAACAGCTCTCTGCCATCGATCTGCTCGATCGCTTCGCTGTAGCAGGCGACAGCCTCCTGGCGGCTGTGGATGAGTTACCCCCATTGAAACAGTAGGGACTCTCCTTTTCCCAAGGTAAATTGTGGGTAAATCCGGTTGTGAAAGGGCAAGCAAAATTCCCAACCCACGGAGTTACAACAAATTTCTTTGGGTGCCCAAGTTTGACATGCAAGGATGGGTGATGCCGCCTCTTGCACGATTCTACGTTATCAAGCAAGGGGCCCACAAAAGTAGACCAACATGGATTTCCTGTTTGCCTTCCAGAATCATGCTATGGGCTATGATACTATAAAACATGGATTCTCAAGGGATATCCCTTCTACACAGCCGTCTTCCGTTTGCGGAGCTCTTGCGTTTGAACATGTTGGAACTGGGGTGAAAGTTGTTTTTTTGGGCACGGTTCCTCATATTCCTCCGACCCTTCCTCCAAAACAACAGGGCCATTCATCCTTCGATCCGTGTCCTGAAAGTCCTTCCGTCGTACAGCAGCATCCCCGCGCTCTTTGGCGCGGGCCCCCATGGCGAGGGGCTACCCTGGGCTTGGTGGGTGGTAACTATGGGTACCACCGGTACCACCCCCTAATGTTTGGGCTAGATTGGAAGTTGGGATGGATATGAAATGGTCATGACCACCATCAGCGCTGCCGGAAACCACGATTTTTTTCGCCAAATCTGATGTGTCCAGTGGGTTTTCCCTGGAACCCATCGTGGGACTTCATTGCGCACCTGCAGTGCCACTTCTTTGCAACACGGTGCCGGTCCCAAAAATCCGTCCTTCCACGATTACTTACAATGCTGATTTGGGATCTTTGGGGATGGTTCCAACTAAGCCTTGGGGGAAACAAACCTATAGTCATCGGTATAACCGGCCACCGCAGAATTTGCAAGTCATTCAATCTCCTCAGTTTCACTATTTGTGTCCATCATGCGGCCAAACCTCATCACCAAGTGCCTAGTCATGTCTTTGATTTGGGCGCAGCTGCAAGTTTGCAAAGGGATATGTTGAGGCTGTGTTGGTTCAAAACAGGGATCCTCATCATCACCAGCATCATTATGATCACATTTCATAATATTAATAATAATAACAATAAATAAGAACAATAACTATAATAACAATAACTGAACAATGAAAATTAAAATACTAAAAACACTAATATATAAGAATCATCAGCAGCATCATCACATCACCACAGCACCACATCGCCACATCGCCGCATCGCTTCTCCTCACCTCCAATCACTTTACTTTTAATCGTTTCGAATCACTTCGAATGTCTAAATCTCATCATGTTTTCCTTTCATCTGCAACTACTTTGCTCTTTCACATCTTCCCATCCTCTTGCATGTAGCATGTAGCCCATTCAACTTACACCTTTCATCTCTTTTCAAGTCGTTTCACAGGTGCTCGTCCCTTGAAACCCGTCGCCCAGCGGCGCAGTTGGTGACCATCCTTTGGGTCCACCATTTGCACCGCGGCCGTCAGTTGTACCACTTGAGAAGTTGCCAGATCTTCCAACGCTCCTGGCATGGGGCACTGTAGGGGATCAACGGGTTGGCCCCAGGATGGCACCAAAAACTGGCCAATTGGCATCCCCTGAAGTATGGACACGGCGCATCTGTACCCACGTGGCTATTTTGAATAGGACTGATGGCATTTTTGCAAGGTGTGGGATTGAAAACTTTGTGGGTTCAAATAGTTAAAATTATGTAGCCTGTAGCCTCTTCAAATTTGCTGGCCAATACTGGTCAAAACTTCAAACACAGTATGTTGCCAACTGACCCGTACGAAGTAAAGGGGCAACTGATACGGCGGAGCCGACGATGAGCGTCTGCTCTAAAAATCGTCGATTGATCATCATTCCAAAGAATGCTTCTTTTGCCAGGGCCTCTCTAAGGTTTGCCCTGACCGTGCCCATGCTCATTCACGGGCTAAGCAGGCTTGGAAACTAAAAAGTGGATGAAATGACCAAAAGCGGATGCTGCCCATGAATTTCATCAGGATGGGCTCCCCGGCTCCCCATTTTGTTGGGATATTCACCATCCAAACAGCAGCTCCACTCCAGCACCGCCTGAAACGACTTTTCCAGGAGGTCTAGGAAGGGTTCGCCGGACACCACCCCGCACTCCTCATGCCTGGCACTGATTCCCTTAAGCGGTCCCTGGGAGTGGAAGTGGTACCCCAACATAACTATGGAGAATCACCACGTATAAATGAATTACAATGTACTGGATATAAATTGGCCATCTAGGATTCACCCATTCTAGGCAATTCATCTACAAATGGGCAATTTACCATCGCTCTGTCAAATTACCAGAGGTTTACAACACTAGGGGCCAGCGGCCAGCTAGGGGCCAAAGAGTGCAGGTAGAAACTCCACTTCTGAATGCTTGTGGTATTGCAGCTATTGATGTCAAGGATGGCTACAAATAGCAGACGCCGCTTGGGGAAATAATTGAAATAATGCACTATCATTGAATCATTAACTATCATTGATCATCTATAGAATCTATCCCTTTTGGTTGTCACATGGAGGTCATGGAGGGAACCTTCTATTGGTCAACCAACTCATGGAAAAAGTACATCTGTGGCATCTATGGCCCTGCATCAGCCTCATGAAGAGCCCAGAGATCTCGCTCAACCTGAGAACGGCAGAGGCATCGGACAAATCCCCACCAGCCGCAGAAAGCGGCACCACTTGCAGAAGGACATCGCAACAGCCCTACAAACAGCTCCAACAACTGGTGCCTCCCAACAATGCGGAATGTGTTTCATTGGTCAATTGTGTATACTGTATATGTATCTTTGTAGTCATGTATATATGACTTATGTATTAGTTCATGTTGGTTTTAGATTCATTTGTCACAATGTGGTAGTTACCCATTTTTTCCTCACCATCCAAATGCCAAGACGCAGCTCCTCCATATGTCCTGGATCTGAATCCGTTGGATCCACTTCCACCTGCCATGGAAATCCCCTGGGAATCTCAGAAAAAAAAAACGAAAAAAAAACTGCGAGTGGAAATCGATTAAAGGGATACCGTATATGTGCGTGTGTAAATATATGTATGTGTATAAATAAATATATATATATATTTATTTATTTATTTATTTACTTATTTATTTATTTATTTATGTATTTATATATTTATTTATTTATTTATCTATTTGTTTATTTATTTAGTTATCTATTTATTTAATGTGTGTGTGTGTGTCTGCATGCATGCATGGATGGATGTATGGGTGTATGTAGGTATGTACGTACGTACGTATGTATGTATAGATAGCTAAATCTGCTGGAAATCACCATGTTTTTGGCGATGGAGATCCTCATGTTCAATGGGGAAATCACCTGCAAACCAGAACGATTTCTTCCACCTGCAATGAGTTGAGCAGCTGCTCCGCATCAGAGACCTCAGGTCTCATCCCACCAGGCCATCCGAGCCAGGAAAATCCATGACAATCAAATACACAAATATGTTGATATACGGGTTAACCAGTTGATGATATGCGTCATTGCAGTTGCAGCAGTTGATGAAATAAACTGGTTTAACTGGGAAATCCAGCAAAAATGATTGTTTTACCAACTTAAAATGATTGAAATAACATGAAATGACCGACCAAAAGATATCTTTGATTGAATTGATTGTCAGGAGATCTGATCCTGATTCGGAATCAAACATGGAGAATGATTCACGAATTTTTCTGAGAACGTCAAATGCCCATGGACCGTCATTAGTAGGGATGAAACGCCAGGCTTCTGTGAGTAGGTGTGCATGAACAAGTTTACAGTGTTTGCTCCAGACAGGGTGTGTCTCAAAGGCATCCCCATTTTGAGAGAATTTTGTGTGTCAAACTTTTTGAGGCGAATTAATTGTGGGTCCAAAACTTTGGCACCTCAGCAATTTCGTTGTTTTTCGTGGGCTGCAAAAAGTCTGTATGTAACCATATCCGAACAGCATGGGATATTCGTGCACCTTCCGAGAAAATAATCCAAAAGCCTGCCTGGGCCACCGATTGATACTGCCGCTGCTCTTTTTTCTTCCGGTCCGCAGGCGCGCTATTCACGAAATACTAGTGGGAGTGGCTTCAAGAGCACTGACATCCAAAAGAAAGGATCGCAACCCGCCATTATAATATAGCATGCATATATATATACACACACACATAACCATACATCGTCTTTTTTGGACATCTAATTATGGGTCCCTGCTTTTGTTCAGAAAGTAGACCTACGTAATCCTACGTAGTAGGGCATGAATGGAAAACGAAGATCTTTCCAACTAAGAGTAGGGGGCCCAATTTTGACCCAATTCCTTTTTCCATACCAAGCCGAATTTGATGTCCAAGTTTGCAACCTCCCAGATTTTCTGGTGAGCTTGGGCTTATCCCTGCCACGGGGCAGTGTCATCATGCGTGCACTTCGGCCGCGCATGACCAACAGGGTGCTCCAACAAAGCATCAAAACAGCTGAAGAATTGGAAGTGGCGGATATCCACCATGAACCCCCAAGAAGATGAATCCAACCTCTGTCACAAAATTTTCGTGAAATGCACTTCCAGTCACTTTCATGAATGTATCATTAAGAATGAATGCATCCAGTGGACCTTCGACCTTGGAAAGCCCTCCGAGAAGCTTTCACCTTCAACGCGGCGATCCGCTCAGTGTCTTCTCATAACTGCCTGGAGAGCAACCCCGCCAGGGCCCCAGCAGGGAGGATATTGGGGGAAACCCTACACCAAACTCACCAAACCAATGGGCCATGTTTGATTTGGGGCTTTGCCGCAAAAATGCGGAAGGATGTTGTGTTCCTAAACCTGCTGCATAGGACTGCGAAATCTTTTCAGCTTAGCCAGCTTGCGTTGTGATGAATTGAACAAGCAGTGCAGGTATAATTTTGTATAGCTCAGCCCCACGCCTGCCTGGCAGGGGAAACAAGACAGCACTCTCCGTTCTTCTGAAGTTTCTGACGGAGATGTTTCAGAAGCTTCGCTGGCTTCGGTGGTCGGGTGTGGCCTCGGCAAAGGTCTGGTGCCAGGGTGACTGCCCAACTGCCCCCGCATGAAAGTTGTCCATCAGTGAATGAGGCCGTGAAGGTGTTTGAATTAGTTCTGACGTATTTCACCAGGCGTTTCAAGTGCAACTAGCCAGAGGTTCTTGCAAGGTTTGTCGTTTTCAGTCATTTCATGTGTATTGTTTTCTTGGTTGTTTTTTCTTTGTTTTTTTGCCAGATACGATTTTTGTATGTATATAGTTATGCCATAGAACAGTTTTTGTCTTGTCGAGTCACATGGCATCCTCAGCTAATACTATACCAGCCCTTGGTATGAGTCAGCAAGGCCAAGGGGATATTTCAACTTTGGGGTCGGTTTTCTTTGTTGGGATGCCCATCGTCATTGAGGATCTGAACAGTTTTCGGTGGTTCGGTACCACGCGTTTACCGCTCTCAGGGCCCGGCAAATCCGCCAGGATTGAGATCAACTCCGCCATGAGGTCCTTGGCAAATCCGTCAACTATCACCAAGATGGATCGTAAAAATGGTTTTTCTATCAGTCTGATTCAGTTATGCTGTTATGCTATATAAATCGATGTTGGTGGAAAATTTACATAAATTGACCGGGCCCTTTTCCACTGTAGACGTGTTTTTCTTTCTTGGGAATGAACGAGCCTCTTTTTGGGGAATCCATCGCGTGCCCATCCTACAGCTCAGTCAAAGGCACTCGTGCCCAGTTCTGTTCCAAGTGCAAAGGATTTCCGGCCACAGGTTGCCACCAGGCCATATGGGACCCGTGGCTGCAATGGATCACCGCACAATCGGACACCAACCTCGGGGGTCGCTGGGAACATGGTTAACACTCGCAGTGACTCCAGGAATGCTATTGATATTGGAATTTTCCCTGGCAGTTTTCTGAGCTGTGAGCACAAGGGTGGAATTCCGCGTCTTAGGTCCCATTAAAGAATGAAAATGCGGATATGCCACACCGCTAAGCCCTCTGACATGGCCACGTACCAGTAAAAATAAATTCATAGCAACCGCCAAGAAGATGGAAGATAAGTTTATATATCACAATTTTCAAGTTGTTTTGGTAGGGTTTTACTTGCCCATATTTTTGGTGATTGCTATGCATGTTCACTTCACTTTCTTAACGTTGGGGTGACAGTCAGCCCACCAGTAAGTGTGGAAACCCATCTCAAATGGCTGCATGGTTTGAGCTAAACTTGAAGGAAAACACAAGCATTTTTTGAAACCTACCCGCGAAGAAAACCAACAGGGTCACTCATACATACCCACTTACAGCATGCATACGCACACATATACATACATACATACATACATACATACATACATACATACATACATACATACATACATACATACATACATATATATATATGTGTGTGTGTGCCTACAATAGAAACAATATAGATGTGTGTGTGTGTGTGCGCGTGGGTGCGTATTTGCTATGTACCTATGTACGTTCATACATATACATATACATATACATATACATATACATATACATATGCATATACATTTACATGCACATATACATATACATGTGCATATACGTATACATATACATATGCTTATACATAAACGTGTGCCTATACGTATACGTATACATACACATACATACTGCAAAGATGGCAACGGCTGCCGCACCCGGGGCTTTTCCATTTGAGACAATAAGCCTACAGTCGGTTGATGTACCTGTACATGACATGTATGAAATGGCCAATTGCAGGGTGTATGTTACAGAACAGCTTTACACCCTGCCTTTTACGCCGCACATTCCCTTTGGAAGTGCAAGTAAATTTCTAAGCTGCTTTGTCGTATTCATCTTCGAAGTGTGGATCCTTGCTCTCTTTTGGCAAGGGGTCTCTGCCTTTTCCACCACTTTCCTGATCCACTCGACGCTGATGACTTTGCTGCTGGAATAGTTGGTCTTCATGTTGAAGGCGTTGGCTCCTCTGGGCAAACAACAGGATCTTCCACCGGCTCCATTGCGCTTTCTCCTCCTTCAGCTGGGGCCCCATGGTCAATCACCTCTGACATTGAGTCCTCCTCCTCAGTCTCAGTCTGAGCACGCTTGTAGTCCTCGTCAGTGATGTAGCCCCAACCATAGTGCACCGCCATCCATTCATCTGGCATGTCGCTTTTCTCCAGGCTCTCACCCGGCATGACCCTGCCAGCTTCATAGTGCATCAGATAGCGTCTTTTGCCACTCCATACCAGCTCGCTCATTCAAAAACGACGTAGATACCCAAGCCTCTTCGCCACGTAGCGCTCCACACCAACAGCGTCTCCCGAGCATTGCCAGCGGTATTCATCGTACTCATCTTCACCCATGTTCTTGTAGAGCTCCTCGTCCTCGCACGCAATGGCCACAGATGCATAGTCAGTCTCAAAGCCATCATCCTCATCCTCCGGTTCTTCTGCTTCCACCTCCACAATCTCCATGTCATCAGATGCAGCGTCAGGTAGATGTTCAGCGCCGCAGCCACCATCCAAGTCACCCAGCCTCATAGCCGTCCTCATCAACCTCCACTTCCACATCTTCTTCCTCTGGGTCTGACTCTTTTGCTTCTCCACTTTCTCCACATTCTGCTTTGACCTCCTCTGAAGTCACCATCCTCACATAGTGCGCCTCCCTCTCGAAGCTTCTTCAAGCTGGAGTTCTCCGTGAACTTCTCCCCATCAATCTCGATCTCAGCGAACTGGCCCTTCTTGTCCCACCAAAGGCACCGGATCACCTTCAGCTGCTTCATGTTGTGGGCCCATGTTGAGGTCCTCATCATCGTCAACCTCATAAACTCCATCCTCCAAAGTTCTACCATGCCACCCAAAGCCTCGTGCTTGCTTTTGCTCTTCTGAAGGCTCAGGGTCTCGAGGTCGAAGAAAGGGATCGTCAGCACCTGTGTTGATGGTGCCCAAATACTGCACATCCTCAATCTCCCTTGCAAAGAAGCTCACCACAGTTGTTGGACCATCAGCACATTCTGGGATCTCATCCTCATTGGCCTTGCGCTCTGCCATCCCAACCACATTAAGGTCCCGAAGTAGGCTGGGGAACCACGATCTCTTCGCAAACAAACTTTCCATTCTTCATCCCCGTCACCGTAGGTCATGTCATAGACCTCCTCAGCTGTCACTGCTTTGATTGCCTGCTCTGCATCAGGCTCCTCCTCAGAGTCCAGGTCAATGATCTGGATTCTTCTCACCGTCGAAGTTGCCGCTGTTGAACTCTGACCACCTCCAGAAACCCCACTCCCACTGACAGAAGATCCTGCAGTGGGTGCTTCAGCACCCTGGGACTTGACAGGGCATTCACGGCTCCAATGTCCACGTTGGCCACGTAGCTTGCACGCATCATAGGCCCTTTCCATTGTTCTTGCCATAGCCCTTGGGGTTCTTGCCCTTGTTG